GCTCTTGTACATCCTGCCACCGTTACAATGAAGCGCACTATTTTTGATACGGAAGCCATTAGTGGAAGAGGAACAGAGTACAGCTCAACGATTTTCAGTGAACTAACTTTTGCTGACTGCGCCACGTATCCTCGCCGTATGGTCGCGGTGGCCCGTCACTCCAGCCAGCTGAATGTCCGCCTCCAAAATCCCCCTCATAGGACCCTCCTCTAACGGGACCATCAGGTGCACCCGCACCACCGAATGGTGCCCGTACACTGTTCGGCGCAATTCCGCCAAACCCTGGTCCACTTAAATCACTGTTCGGAGGCCCCTTTTCATAAGCAGGCCGACCGTAATTACCACCTGCTGGACCACTGCCGCCACCACCACCGAAACATCGCCCCCTTCCACCGCCATTGAAACCTGGCGCGCCGCCGTAACCAGCCCCATCACCTCTACCGCAGTAACCTGGCCCACCACTGCCACCGCTGTAGCTTGGTCTACCGCAATAACCCGGCCTACCGCCACTGCCGTAAAACAGATCACCTCCGCCACCGTAACCCGGACCACCGCTACCGCTGCCGTAACGGGGACCATAGCCTGCACCACCAACACCATCATCGTCGCCGTAACCCGGACCACTAATGCCACCGTAGCTCGAACCACCGCCTCCACCATAACCAGGGCCACCACCACCGTTGTCACGTAAATCGCGACGATCGTAGCCTGGACAACCACGACTTGGAAAGTCGCCACCACAGGCCGATGCGCCGAACTCAGCCTGTGCTCGACCGTTGAAGCGGTTTCGCGAGGAACCATCGCCGCCGCCGCCGCCACTATACTGATGCAATTTGTCAGATGGGCCGTGTGACTTCGAATCCTTCCAGTTTTGGTAGTCACCTGCAAACACTGGCATGAGCGTTCTTGCGCGGGCGGCTGAACACATGGAAGACGCGGTGAAGGAGCTTCAAATCGCACATCGAGCATAGCTGCTAATTTAGCGAACAGAAAGCAGAGGGCCGCAGCTACAAAAGCAGACTATAAATTAACCGTTGCCACATCTTAAGATAGGTTCCCGTACACACTTCCTTCCAGAGGCACAGACAAGCCCAAGTGCCAACAACAACCAGAGATTCCCTCCCCCCATTTTCACTTTTTATTCAAAGGAAATGGCAAAAAGAAGGCCATCTGGATGAGAAGGAGGAGGAGGAGCTGTAACTAACTGATCGGCAATTCCTTCGCCCCGTGCTACTGTCCTCATCTTCGTTTCGTTTCCTGAACAGATTATCAGCTCAAAGATCCGACAACAAAGTTTTAGTCATTTGGAGCTATTCGAGAATCTTCCAGCTTGTCCTAGGTGGTGCTGTCATTTCTAGGCCACGATATGGCACCTTGCCGAGCACGTCGTGATTAGCTGAATGTAAACACACGAAATTTATTACATGAAAAAGTCAAAATTGAAACCCTTCTGTGTCTGTTCCCAATGCGAGGCAGGCACAATCCGAACGGTAGCAAATGCCAATGGCGAGACTCTTGATGGCTATCTTTTTCGGGCACTACTTACAAGCAAGCAGTGAGCGGTTTTTATTTCCGGCACATGTTAATATCTCTAGTACCAATATGCAAGCACCATTTATGTGCGCCTATATTTTAAATACGTTATATTTTAACTGCTGCACTGATTAAGTCCAAATGCGAATAAAGGCAAATTAATGGACCGAAACATTCCTGCTACATCATGCGTTTTGCGCTGCAACAGTTGCACAAAATGCATACCTTCACACCTCTGTATGTGTATGTGTATGTGTGCTCGAGTGCCTTTCAGCTCAAGAACCAAAAAAGTTAGGAAGCTGAGATTTTAGGAGAGTGTTCTTTGTACGCGTGCGACTCCGCATCTAAGTCTTACGGACGTTGCGCGAAGTGTTTGGAGCGAAAACTACTAATTCAGTGGTCGGAAATATGAAAATCTGAAAATTTAATATGTTGCATCCTCTAAATGTAAGTTTAATACGTACGCGAGC